AGAGCAAAAGTTTCTTAATAATCAATTTCATAGGATTAAATATATCATTTGACTACTAATCTTACTTTATACTATTCCAAACTTTCATTTGCTCTATATTTTATAAGAAAATTTATTTATATTAACCATTTTCTTCTCTTTCTATTCAACGATCTCCTAAGTGTGAATTTATTAGAGTACTCATCTATGCTCTCATGGCATTATTCTTCTTATTTTCAAGTGTCTCAAATAGTTATTGATATTATAATGAAAAGCTTTATAGGTAGGAGAAAATTTTTTAAAAGATGTATACTGGGACATGGAACACAGAGGAGAATATATAGTAAGGGGTTGATCATTGTTACTGATAAAAGTGATTTAAAATTAAATTACTTTTAACTGAAAATACTTATTCAATTAACCAATTCTAGTTAAATTATTTCTTTAATTTTTTTATTTCCTGTTTTCTTATATTTAGAAATTGAGCTAATCTCTATTTCTTAGTTTTCTTATTTGATATATGTTGGCTTTCATATTTAGCTACTCACCATCAAGGTAAAATAAACAAAGGGGAAAAGATAAAGGGCTTTTTGCGCGTGTTCGGGTGTGCGAGTAGAAGGGTTTCTTCCAAGTGAAAGCTAGGGCTTAGGTTCTTGGTGCTTGGCTTCTTGTGTGAGAGAGAAAGGGAGGTGTTGAAATCTTTGAATTTGTGTGTGTGAAAAAAGTGAATCCTTCTTGTAATCTCCTCTATCTTATTTCCCACAACAATAGCAAGTTTGTTGTTGGAAGTGAGGGTTATCTTGTGTCGTAAGATCTTATTCTTTTGCAAGCTTTGCTATAAGCAGAATGTGCATGTATATCTTTCCTATTTAATTTAGGAAGATTGTGTTGCATTGTAGAGCTGCTCTCAGTTTATGGTTATTGCTATTTGTTTTCCTTTTAGGATTAGTTGTTTATTTTGTTGTTTCTTGGTTAAAGATCTTATAAATCTGAATGGTAGGTTAGTTATTTACTGTTTGAGATTATTGTGCCTTCAGTTTGTAGTGGTTATTGTTGGCATTGGTTTTGGTAAGCTATTAGCTAAATATATATTACCTTGTATCTTGTTTCCTTCACGTATAAAAGAATTAGGATTGAGGTTGCCCCATAGATGTAGAGTTCAGATGAACTGAAACCACGTAAATTTTGTGTTCTTATTTTCATTTCTTTCAATCAATGTTTAAAATTGAGTATTCGGGTATTGAGGCGTTTTTCATTCGTGAGGCGAGGCGTAAGCCTCAAGGCGTTTTGAGGTGTAAGCCTCAAAATCAAAAGATTGCGTAAATATAATAAAATTTTTATATACTATTGAGTGAATAATATAAAACATAAAAAAATATAAGATATGAAGTGAAATCAAAATATCCCAATAATAAGATAACATGAAATATAATTCAACTCAAAATTCTATCTTTACCAAATCCCATTATTCTTTTCATTAACATATAATTCAAATTTCTAAAAATAAATAGCAATGACATATCACATAAGAACTCATAAGTCATAAGCACTGTCACTAAGGGGTTTTTCATTTGAATCATTGTTATGATGAACTGCTCTCTCCCCTTCCTCCTCTCCTATAGAGTCCAATGTTGGGCATTTACTTCAAGATTTATGTAAGTTTATATATATATATATATATATAGAGAGATGTATATATCTATAGCGGGAGGCGTAAGCCTCACGCCAGTGAGGCGAGGGGGGGCAGTGAGGCGAGGCGGGCCTCAACCAAGTTGAGGTGCAAGCCTCATAAAAAAAAACTCGAGGCGTTTTTTATTGGAATTGTGCAAAGGCGGGCCTCAAGGCGAGCCTCATATTGCGCAATTTTAAACCATGCTTTCAATTGCTTATACATGCTTATTTAAATTCAGGAAATATAAGCTTACTATTTTGCTTTGAAAAAAATTTTGTTAGAGAGCTTCCAAAATTATTCTTAAAAACTACGATCAAAATATTTACATATATATTAGGTTTGGGTAGTTGATTCATCTCTTTCACACAACAATTACCAAATAATAATTCAAAATCTCGAGTTTGTTGAATATTTTGGCTAGATTTATCTCTCCTATTTGAATATTTTGGCTAGTCTTGGATCATCTGGATATGTACAACAAATTATATAAAAAACTATACCCATCAGATGGATAAATAAAATTATTGTTGGATGAATATGAATTATGAAAGGACAAAGGGGAAGATCAACTCTTATTGGGAAAAACTTCAAATACTAGTAGATGGAGATTAAAATATTACGCCTCACTTGGAGGCAAATTGAACAACCATGAGGTAAAAAGGCTATAATATCTGGGGTAAACAAATCTTGATAGTTGTATGTCAGACAGTAATGAAGGGTCCATGCAAATATATGAAGAATGTTGTCCAAAATGTGTAAAGAATATTGCTTGCAACAAACTGCACGAAAAAACTACTTAAAATAAAGGAGTCCACTTTCCTCAAACCCCGAAATTATGGATTTTTTTCCTTGTGATTCTTTGAATTAAAATTCTTTTTTTATCAATTCAAAGTGGTTACCAAATATTCAACCCTTGAAAATCTTAACAAATCTGATTTTGAATAGGCCATAGCTTATCCACACTAGATTCGTTGCTAATATCCTAATGTTCCTGGGGCCTCCACCATTCCCTCTCACCTTCAAATACCCAAAAGTACTCTGTTGTTGCATCATCATCAACAATATAAGTGATTCTTCGGTTCTCCTCCACTGTTGAATTCCATACAAAAGGCTTTCTTTCAACATTGTAGCAACAAGAACAAAAGAATGCAGCTATTGATGGTAACCAATGATCTGAGCCAGCGAAGGAAGGTGTCAGGTTAGTTGTCAGCAAGAGGTTGTTGAGGCAGGTCAATTGGAAGCTGCAGAGTAATCTGTAGTTGGTATAAAGGTTTGAAGATTCTCGAGTACCCTTTAAACGGTTGGGATATGCCTAGAAAAGCACATAAGTGAATGTAGTGGGTTTCTTCTTTTTTGGGCTTATAAAACTGGGTTGATAGGCTTTAAAATTATTTTAAAGAAAAAAAGAAAAAACGACAAAAGTTAGGAAAGGAAAATTTATAGAAATTATTCCTTTTTTACTATTTTTTGAACTAATTGAATCATGACAATTATATGCGGTCATAAAGATATATAGATGAACCTTTGTCAAACCATTTAATACTTTCCCTTATTTTTTGACTTTCGGCTACATTTGATTTCTCGTTCTCACACACCCGATTTTAACAACAAATATCACATTTGGAGTGACAAAAGCTTCCTCAAACACATGCAAGAAGCCTTCAATGGTGAACAAAATGTCTCTGGTGAGACAATTTTTTAATCTCAAGATTAAGGAAGGGTTTCCTATAATATAACATATCCTTAAATTCAATATGATCAAATTTTACTTGAATTAAAATGATATCAACTTTAATGATGAAATTCATGCATTGAGCTTGTTCTCATCACCACAGATAAGATGGTGTGGCACTATAATGATGATCAATAGTTTCTATGATTGCATGAAGCTAAAACTCAATGATGTTCATGACTTGATGTCTTGATCCTAAATGAGGGCATCCGAGGATGGGAACAGGTGAAAGGCCATCCTTTGCTTTAACTCTTCAAAGCAGAGGGAGAACTACAAAGATGGACGGAAAATAAAAGTATTTTTTCAAATATAACATGAAAAATCAATCAAAAGATCACAAAAGAGCATGTTGATAATGTGGTGAGATTGGCCACATAAAAGAGATGAGCTCCACATGAAAAGAGATGGGCGACAGAAAATGAATCCAGAGTGAATCAGATGGATAAATATGAGTATTTCGCCATTTAAGAGATTATAGATCAAGTATTGATAGTCCAAAGGAGTCATGGATTTTGGACTTAGGTGCGTCTTTTCACTCTACACCACATAAATAGCTTATACATAATATTTTGCAAAAGTTTAGGTAATTGTTTATCTTGAAGATGATGAGCCCTCAAGTATTAAGGGAGTTAAGTGATATTCAAGTCAAAACTACTAATGGGACTATGTGAAAGCCTCCTAAGGTTAGGCATATGATGGACCGGTGGTTGAGCCAGTGGGCCCCACTAGGGTGGGCGGTGGGCAAGAAGAGAGGAGGAATTGTTTAGGAAAGTTTTAATTACAATTGGGAGGTAATTAATTAGGGAAAGAAATCTAATTTGAATTCAAATCTAAGAGGGAATTATTTAGGGAAAGCCTAGGGGAGTTAATATTCATTATGTAACAAGGAATAAATGGAGAATTGTTTAGGAAAGTTTTAATTATAATTAGGAGGTAATTAATTAGGGAAAGAAATCTAATGGAATTATTTAGGGAAAAGGGGTTGATTAGGGAGGGAATTAGGGGAGCCTATTTAAGGCTGACAATTGGGTGATTTCATATTATGCTTGATTTTTCTAGAATTAGTTTTGTTAAGGTTGAATGGGCTCTAGCTAACGTCTAGAGATTTGAGAGAGCTGGATCTTCCTCTCCAATTAAAGATCCAACCGTATCTTGTGTTTTTCTTCTTAGTTCTCTCAATAAAAAAAAAAGAGTTATTGTGTGTTCTTCTTCAAAGTTTCCTTGTGTTTGTTCTCTAGTTTTACTGAAATTAAATTTTAGCCAAGGCCCAATGGCTTATTTTGTTTCTACAAGAACTTCCTATCAAATTGGTATTAGAGCCAATTTGATAGGAATTGGATACAATTTTAGCAAAACCAAAGAACGGCACAAGAAATTAGACTAGTCCCCCCTCGACAGGCCAACCAGTCCATGGACCAGCTCTTGTGTACAAGAGGCAGAACAAAAGTTCCACCCAGGACTCCTGCCCCCTCCACATATCGGGTCCATCATCCAATTAGAAATGAAATTAATGGGGGAATAGGAGGGACACTTCAAAACTCCAAACAAACTACATTTAAGTACATCAACAGCAAAGGAAGAAAACAAAAGCATAGATGCAAAGGCATATACGCTTACCTCTCTAAATCGAATAATGTTGGGGTGCCTCAATGATCTATGATTAATAATTTCTCGCTGAACATTCTCATCAATCTGAATGAAAGAATTAAATCAAAATCATAAACAAACTACATTTAAGTACATCAACAACAACAATCAAATGCAAAGAGTGAGGTCCAATCTCAGCTTAAAGTAGTTGGAAATGTAACTAGTTCAGTTCAAAATAGTAAGAAAGATAGCCAGATATCCAAAACGAGCGGCATCATTAAGTAAAATAAGAAGAAATTTCCCAAAGAAACATTGCTCAACCCAAAAATAAAAATTCAATTCATCAGACTCAAACCATAATCAATCAAAGCATCATAACAAATTACATTGTTGATTGCGATTGTCCAGAAGCTTACAGGAATATTGTAAACTTAGCATCAAAACCTTCTTGGACGAACTACATAAAACGTATAACCACGAATCCAAGGAAAATCCAAACACCAAATAACCAGCCTTCAATCGCACGAATAGTATATCAAAGAAAACATCTTTCCCCTCCTACTAAACTGACAATACAATACCTATAATTGAAACAATATCAAATAAAAAGACATAGAATGCTGTTCTTAAAAACAAAAGCAACAAGAGATCTCAGACTAAAAAGCTAAACAGCCTAAAAACAAATCAAGTTCTGCAGCGACAATCGATATTTATCTAATACCTTCTTCCCCCTCTCGATGTACTTCACGGCCACGAGCTCCTTGGTCTTCTTGTCCCTGACCAGCCTTGCTACGCCGAAGTTCCCTGCGCCTAATTCCTTCAAAGGCTCGTATCTCCCCTCCATCCCTCTTACCTGAAAAATACAGCACACCCTTACCTCCAATAAATGTTGAAGAATCAAATATCTTCGATGCTTCGGAGAGAGGGATAAATGATAAATCCAACAAAAAGAGAGAGTGAAGCTCAGATATCTCGATCGGTCCTAGCGGCCGGTGGCCCCCTGCTGTCGAATGAGCACAGAAGAGCTGAGGATTGCGAGAGCGGCACGTTGAGGAGACTTGAAGTAAGCGTAGACACGCGTACAGAGGAAAATGGATTGAGGCTCTGAGGGGTTATTCTTTGAATACTGTATTGTCATTTGTCGCGGTCGGCTGTCTCCTTCGCCGCTTTTTTATAATTTATTTAAATGATTTCCATATTTTATTTTGTTTTGCTAAAATAAAACTTCAAGTACGTATTTCTTTATGAATTTATTACATCCAGAAATATACGCAGTAATAATCTAATAGATAATGGAGATCTCGACAATTTAAGAGCAACACCTGTGAGGTACTAAATTTATTACGTTATTTACATGTGTAAATATAAGTATTAGAAGCCTCGTGTTTTCTAGAGAGATTATTCTGTGCGGTATTCGAATGTATCTGAATTGATCTCTGAACGCATCCGGACACTGTATGTAATAATTTTTTTCAGAACTCGAGAATAATAACACTATTTAGTACATATGAGTGAAGTAGGAAGGGATCTCATATGATGGTATAAGGACGAGTTTTAATATGCATGAATTATTATTGGGTGATGGTGGATAATTTATTTGATCGAATATCTAGTGATATGAATGCTATCATTGATAGGTATTAGGTGATGGTTATCAATGGTTAGGATGATCATTATTTTTACGAAGGAATAATATTAGACGATACATGTTATGAGTAATATCGGCGCTAAAGAGGCTAATTGAAATATGATATCAATGGCTGGTATGCATCAAAGAATGGTAAAGGAGGAATGTCAAATTTTAAGTAGACATTCGATATAGGAGGTTGAAGAATGGTCCATGATCAACTTGAATGATCTCCTAATATAGTGTATATTAAACGACAAAAAAAAAAGTATTAGAACATTAGTGATTGATGTCAATGGCTGATGAATGACGGACATCAATGAGTAACAGATGTCATGCATCACTCATTAGTGGGAGTTGGATGATAATCGATGGGGAACATTGAAAAATAGAGTGATGATTGAAAATCGGCTTAGTCATTCTCATGATACGGCTCAAGTGACTACGAATATAGGAGTTGGACATAGGTGTTGATGGATAATCTCATTCTTTCGTCGATGCTCTTGTTGGTTCATCTTCAAATGGTTGTTTTCCCGAGCTGCGTTTGTCTTTATTCCGTGATTTGCCCTCCTTGTGGATTCGAAAGAAGAAATTATGGCACTTGCAGTCCCATTTAAAATTGAGCTAGTAGATTTTTTTCCCTCTTCCCGATCTAGTTTGGATTCCATTAGAAGTTTTTTTTTAAACGTCAAGCTCAATTCCGAGTTCTCTGTTACTCTTCTTGATCTTTCGCATGTGCTAGTTAAATTGTCAAATGATCTGAACTACAACATAGTATTTTCTTATAGATTCAATTTGATAAATAATTGTTTTTTTTTTTTTTTAACTTAGCATATGATCCCGTCACTTGATATTGGTGTTTAGTCACCTGTTTCTCGTTTTTGAAACCCAGCCATAGAAAACTAAAACAAAATAAAATCTATCAGGACACTTGTTCTGTGAGGAACGGCCATTACGCTGTCTACTTCTAATATTAAATGCTAGTACAAATTATCTCCTTTTCATGGCCACTTGTAAAGCCAAGATTTGGAGTACAAATATCTTGGAATGCAAATTGGTCCTCACCAACCTTTCATTTGTCAATCCCCTTCCAAACCTTTTAGCTTGTCCCCTGCAGAATTCGGCCAAAAATTATTCTGTTAAAAAATACTCCCGTGGTATGATTAATGCAAAGGAATCCGAATTTTTTTTTTGGGTACACTTAGGCCAATTATGACGTGTTCACACGGTAAATTTTAAATCTATCCTGTGATAATCAAAGTTCTCAATCAATAAATTAAAATTAGAAATGTATAAAGGTGCTGGAAAAAAAAAAGACCGAGAGACAACAAATAAAAAAAAAAAAAGAGAATTACAACAAAAAGAAATAATATTATGATTTAACATGAATTTTTATTAATCGACATAAAACTATGTAGTCACATGACAACAAAAAATTCTCTATAAAATTGAGAGACTGTGTTAATATCTCTTTTCATATCTCTCATTTTCTCTCCTCACTCTTGATGTCTTGCATAGAGGTGTCAATTTTGGACACGACCCGAAAACCCGACACGAAAATTTCGGGTCCGGGTCAACCCGAACCCGACCCAGCTCAGGTTCGGGTTGACCCGGAAACCCGAAACCGACCAAATTTGACCCGGAAACATCCCGTCACTAATCATCTTTGTCACTCGTCAGCAGTAGCGCGCGTCACTTGCGAGTCGTGTCAGCTCGTCACTCGTCAATGTCGTCCACTCGTCCCGTCGCATTCAGTCCGTCAGACCGTCACCGTCGGTCCGTCACAGTTGGATCAGAAGCAACAACGGCAGTGAGCTCGTAGGCCTCACCTTTCATCTGCAGCTCCGTGGGACCGCAAGACGCCAATTCGTCACTTCGCCAGAAGCAATGACGACTACAGCAGGGAGCTCACCTCATTGTCGTTTTCATTTTGTAGTTAGTTCAACTTTATTAGGTAGTCCGACAGTGGTTTGATAGAAGTATGGCGTCAGGCGGTGGTCCGGTGGAACTATGGGCATCAAATGATGGTCCGGCGAAACTCCAGGTCTCAAGAGGTGGTTCGACGAAACTTCGGGCTCCAAGTGGTGGTATGGCGGAACTCCCGGCGTTAGATGGTGGTCCGGCAGAACTCCAGCGTCAGGTGGTGGACAGGCGGAACTATGGCGTCGGGTGGTGGTCCGGGGAAACTCCGGGCGGTGGTCGAGGATGAGCTCGATGGCAAAAGCGATCTCCAATCACTCTCTTGCTCTCTTCATTAGGGTCCTCTTTCAAGAGAAAGGATATGTCTATTTATAGATTTCCTAGAGTTGCATGGCCTATAAATAGGAGGAAGATCAAGTGTTAATGGGAAGTGGTTTAGATGTAGGGGTGTCAATTTCGGGTTACGGGTCGAACCCGAACTGACCCGGGTGGAAAACGGGTCGACCCTAACCCGACCCGGGTAGAGAAACGGGTCGAAAATCCGAACCCGGACCCGACCCGGCACCGCGGCAGCACGCGGCGGCGCGATCGCGGTTCTCCAAACTCTATTGGTCCCCAACCTTATAATACAACGTTGCAACGCTTGAGTGCACACAATCGTAGTGTTGTACAACTATATGAAAAAAAAAAATAGGAAAGGACCCATGTGACCCCCAATGTATTTGACCGATGGAATCAAGGTTCAAGTCAACAATACAAAACGATTTATCGACATAATCAGATTTCACACAGAACTAGCAAAATGTTTTTATTTAATTATTATAAATTAAATATTTAATTTTCTTATAATTAATAGGTACTTAAAATTATTAAAAATAAAGAATTAATAAATACATCTTATTGACAATTCTTTCCAACTCTAATAAAAATAAGAGCAGTAATTTAACATAGATCATTATGATGAATAATATATCTCATCACAAAAAATAAATACTCATTTTCTAATTATGAAGGAAAAAAAATAACAAAAGCGCAGTCAAAAAGATCAGTTAAAACGCGCACTCTAAGAGTGCAGCTCAAAAGCGCAGTGAAGCATGTATTTTTATTGGAGCCAACCTATCTGCGTGCCCGGTGACCGGTGAATTTGCCAGACTCAAAGGGTATCGCACACGAAGACCTTCTTTTACGGCATCTCCAATAAAAAAACTCATTTTTTTATTCTAAAATTATCGCAACACATGTAAAATACAATAACTTCATCTCTAACAAAATCCTTGTACAAAAATCAATATGTTTAAATATCTTATAACAAAACTACAGGCTAATAATAATAAATAAAAATTATATATATATATAGAAAGAATTGATCGAGAAAAAAAAATAATTAAAAAGATAAATAAATCAATTGGATGAGATGTAATTTCATCGCTTTATTAAGTTGTGATAAGAAACTAAAAGTA